AAACCTTGTAGAAGTTGAACACTGTATATCAGGGCGAAAGAGACCTCATGATCGGGTTTCTTTGAGAGAAATGAAGAGAGATTGGAATTCTTGTCTTAACAATAAAGTTGGTTTCAAGGGGTTTACTGTGTCAAAAGCAGCACAGGGGAAAGTGGCAAAATTTCCGTTCCATGGACAGCCAACAGAGCTTAGGCATGGCAGTGTTGTAATTGCTGCAATTACGTGCTGCACCAATACATCAAATCCTAGTGTGATTCTTGGGGCAGGTCTTGTTGCAAAAAAGGCTTGTGAACTTGGTTTACAGGTCAAGCCTTGGATAAAGACAAGTCTTGCACCAGGTTCAGGAGTTGTTACAAAATTTTTACTACAGAGTGGGTTACAAGAATATTTGAATAAGCAGGGCTATAATATTGTTGGATATGGTTGCACAACATGCATAGGAAATTCAGGAGATTTGGATGAATCAGTTGCCACTGTTATTTCAGAAAATGATATAATAACGTCTGTTGTACTTTATGGGAATCAGAACTTTGAGGGTCGTGTGCATGCCTTAACAAGAGCCAACTACCTTGTTTATCCTCCTTTAGTGGTTGCTTATGCCCTTGCTGGCACGAAGTGAAAAGCATGAGGGATTTAGAAAATGAATTAGGGATTGAGCTAGGGATTGCACGTAGGAATTGAGGAATTTTGATGAAGAGGGATTAAAAGGGGAGCATATAACTCGCATGGAGAAAATTAACATAGAATATAGCATACTTACTTGAGGAAGGGAAACAAGGACCTTAGGATAAGCCCAAGCCAAAATAGGAGGAAACCTAGTGTATTGTGATTAAATAACCATGTTCTGAAGAATATAGTTTTTATGTGTGAAAAGAATGAACTTTTTCTTCTCTTGAATCTCTATTCTCTCATCCACTCTCCTCTTGTCTTCTCTTCTTCGTCTATTTTTCTTCTTCGTCTATTTTTCTTCTTTATTTCTTGAGGGTCATAACACATTATTATTTGGATTCTTAAAAACTTAAACATAATTATATTATTAACAATATTATTTTCAAAAATAAATCATTTTTCTAGAATGTTTATATTTGTATAACTAATAATTTCTTTGATCTTTTAGCTCCTTTTAATTATATTGACACAGAAAACTCTTGCGAATTTATATTAATTTTTAACGGTAATCATTAAAGTGATAAATAAATAAAATATAATATAAGGTTAAACTCATCATAAGAATGTCAGTACATGACATCCATAGAAAGGTGACATCCTCCCAATGTTTGTAACCCCTATACTTATCGGCACTTGAGGATTCCGTTGTACGAAAGGAAGATCACAAGTACTTAACCGCTCCAAAGTTTTCCAACTTTATCGGTATATACACTTAAACATGTAGTGCTGCCCCTCACAAACGCATAAACCATAAGATAACATCATCTGGCAGCACTAGCCGATTTCTATCGAATGAACAAAACAAACAATGGAAGACTTTTTTATCTCATATGCTATAACTGCAATTTAACTGAAACAAATACTTTTATATATATATATATATATATATATATAGTCCTGACTTCACGAGGCAGGTAATTAATAAAGCTGTATTGCAGATTATCAGGGGCCCAAACGATAAGGACCATCACCCATGAAGTTACCATCCATAAATAGAGCTGCATTATGCGGATGCAGACCATCCATCACCATGGATTGCATGTCTTCAGAGGGTTTCCAGTGACGTTTCCTTTGATTTATGAACCAATTATTAATTTGTTTCTGGTCCAAACCAGTTGATTCAGCCAATGCCACCTTCTCTGATTCCTAAGGAATCAGAATCGAGTTTTGTTAGCAATCCGAGATGAAAACGAAAATCCCAGGAGAAATTCCAATAGCTTGTCAATCCGTAGCAGGTGTTAAAGAAAACAATTTAGCATAGAAAGGATACATACCGAGGGGTATGGCCATTTGTAGTGCAACTCCCACCAACTAAGCAATTTTTGTCTAGCTTCTTTTGGTAGTTTCCCTTTCTTCTTTTTCTTGGAGAGTTCTTGCTTCAGACTACTTAAATAACCACTATATTTCCTCAATAGGTGGTTCTTCAGTTCTCGATCTTCAACACGCGGATCAAATTCAGCTACTTCTGTTTCTCCGCCACTATTGTCTTGATCCTCCTCAGATGAACCAACACCCTCACGCGTCTCATCTGTTCAATTATTAATAGAAAACAAAAGTAGAATGGTTTGAAAATAAGTACTTGATTCAATAATCCGAAAACACAGTGCAGGAATTTTTCATACAATTATTCTTGGTCCAATGACAACCAACATCATTTTCTAATTCACAGTATTAGTGCAATATATACTTGCACGCCAGTATTTGATGAAAGCAAACATGAAGATTCAAATCAAAATACACTCTAGACTAAAACAAAAATAGGTTATTTGGGCATGGTCTAAAACTTTTTTCTCAAAAGTAAATTCCATGAGTTGATTATCAGTTGATGGTTTCTGTTACTACATTTCCCTATATCTTTTTAATAAGGAGACTTACCAATTCAAACAGAAGAGCTAGTAAAAGATAGGTACTAGAGATAGATGGCACATGTGAATCAATAGTTCCTAAATTGGCACAAAGACCAGGTGCCACAAATGGATAAGTAGGAGAGACTTTAGCATAGTGGAACGAAAGTAAAGGAATAATAAATGCATTGTCTATTCAACGGCAGCCTACTACCCTTCTTTATCCAATTACATATAGGAATAGGATTTTGTTGTTGTTGTTATTCAATTTAGTGAAAACTGAGAAATTGAGAATGTAACTCACCAGCTAGATTTAAATAATATTAATGCAAGAGAAGGTCCGAATACAGATACGCAAATTTACCAAAAACGACAAATAATATGATTTAAGATGGAAATATACTGCTAAATACTACAAAGTACAAACTTTGACAATTACATTCCTACTCCAACAATTATATTGTACCAAAAATATATTATCCATATAAAGATAACAGACAAAGAAAATAGGAGTAACCCGTGAATGATAAAACCCACAACAGATAAAGAAATTACCAATAAAGGAATATATATATATATTTTTTTCTATATCCGTACAGAATGGGGTAACACTGATTTGAACAGCATCCTATGTTCTCTACTTTTCCTATCCTTTTAAAAAAAAATATAGGAAAAAAGAAATGCAAAAGAAAATTACAAGGTAAGTGTGGTAAACGAAAACTGGGGAAAAGAAGACCGTACTGCCATCATTCCTCTCTGGAGGTATATATTTATGTACAAAAACCCACATGAACATATAATAAAGTATCCAGATTTTGGGAGTAAAATTAACAAAACCCTAAAATAAGAATGGTTGTCAGAGATCATTGAAAAGGTCACCCCATTACAGAAAAGCCAACGTGTGTATTTTATTGAGTACACCCAGCAATAGCATAAAACCAAGTGCGTTTTGTCTTTCTTCTTTCAGACATACGTAATACATTAAGCCATTTGAAATTTGCAATCAAATTATTATTATATAGATTCGTCACTAGCTAGGGTTTCTCTAATTCGCTGATTAAATACGTTGCGTTAGCTGGTATTTATCCTACTGTTGATTCTTATTCTCCGTTTTTGCTGCTTCATCCGAATTGGAAGACGTGATTTGGGTCAAAGTTATATCAATAAATGATACGAGAGATGTAGACCGAGGTCTACAATTTCCAAAGAAGGCTTAGTAAATTAGACTATTTTACAAATATAAGTGACGAACAGCTAATACCGTACGGTTTCTGCAACAAAAGTTAGCAAGACTCTTGTTTCATTCTTCCCTTCTTTTCCAGGCTTACGCATTAGGCTAAGGTAAGCAAAGCGCGAGGGAAATGGAAATAAAGAGAAGATAAGAGGAAAAAAAGAGTACCGGAGTTGAAAATCCGCACGGGAGTGTTGCTAAGGATGTTGAGCTGAGCTTCGATCCTCCGCATGAAATCCAAAGCTTCTTGTATTGGCCTCGTTAGTTCCTCTCGATATTTCACCAACAAGTCATAGTAAGCATCCTGGGTTTATGGATCCATAACTTTTGAGTCAGAAGAAAGTGATAATAAGTACAGAAGCGGAACAAGTAGCTGTGCTTAAACGCAAAAGTGATCATAAAGCCAGAAAGAAAAGGTTCGGTGCCAAAATTTGATCACCATAAACTGATCCAGCTCCGGGTCTTTCGAGGAGTATCTCGGTGCCACTGAAAATCGCTGCCTCGCTTCGAACTCTTGTCGAGCAGCTGCAAGTCGGGCCACTTCTTCAGGTGGGGCTCCCACCTGTATGAAAATAGTATAAAAAATTATTAGTGATAAGAAAAGTTTCAACGAGTTAATCGATCGAATTCTCTTTGAGTTTAAATCAAGTTTAGTGTTCACAGAATATGCACTGTCTTTCGCGGGAGACTTGCCTTCTGGCAATCCATGTAAGCTTCCAGGAGGTTATTGTAATGAGGATGAGCAATGATCTTGGCTTTGATAGCTTCCACTTCACTTGAGCTTTCGTTCCCTTCTTGTTGGTAATGAACTGCTTGATGCACTCTCAACGAAGGGTAGTGAAATTTTTTGCCATGTTGAGAATTGCTAGCTTCAGTTTTCACAATTGGGCGTCCTTCCGATTGATAATACTCGCTTGATTGAAGCTGAAAGGAAACTAATGGCATCTCGATCTGTTGATTGCTCATATTAGAGCCGCTACTTGCTCTCGCATATGGAGAAGAATCCGGTGCAAGAACTGGACTTGCGTAAAAGAAATTTCCCCTAGGAATACTATTTTCGTTCAGCTGATTATATTCTTCCATTATTTCCTTTTTCCTTTTGTCAACAAATTCATCTGTAAACCAAACAAGTAGGAAAAGATATTTAAAACTTCTCCAAGCTAGAAAGCAATCGACAAAGAAAAACGTAGTAAAAACCCCTATAGAAAGCAGGGTGAAGGAACAGAAACACTAAAACAAAATAGTTGGACACCAACTGATCATTTACTTAAAAAAGTTTTCCATTTCCATATCAAATCGAGCAGACTTGAAACTTTGGATCAATGGAGAATAAGTAATGAAATTCTTTGTAGTTTTATGTCAGGGGAGACTTAGTGAAATTGCACCAACATGGGCACTTATCAAGAGAAGAACAGAAAAAGGGAAACACGAAAACTCGACAAAAAAAAAAAGAATAAGGCGTTTTTACCGAAATATCACCCTTACATGCAATAATTACCTATAAGACACATTTTTCCAAACCAAATATTATCAATCTAGCATCATTTTTGACACGGTAACAATAAAACATGGATCGTCATCCATGCCTTTGCGGGTTATGTCTGAGCTGCAGCCACGTAAGTGAAAGGCTCGGATGAGATTCTGACACATGCAAAAGGCGCAGATCATGATCCGTGCATTATATTATGCACATTGAGTTATTCGCACCCATCATTACTCGAGCCTAAAAACTCGACTTTTAAATGCTCCCCTCCCCTATAAATAACAGCCCCTCTAAATACAAACATCACCACACCAAAATTACTTGCTTATTCTCAATTCTATCAATTCCTTCTATAAAGCTAAATAGTTTTTTTATTGTTTTTTATAAGGTAAAATTACTTTTGATTATATTATATATATTTTATATTTAACTATTTGAAAAAAATTATTGTATTAATTATTTTATATTATTTTTTGCGGTTGTAAAATTAGAAAGCGGGATCATACCTCGAGATATTATGCCGATACAGTAACAATATGAAATTGTGTTATTTAAATTGTGAAATTTTTTATAAAAAAATTGGATTACTTTATATTTTAATTCATATAATATTTATTTAATTAGGCGTATTTCAGATACAAGAATCTCAATCTTTCAAAGTCACAAAATGACACGTATTTCAGTTATTGTTTACTATGATGGAGAAATTCGGGAAGATTAAACCGACGTCATCTTCGCATCAAATCATTATGTTAGAATATCCTTTAAGAGAAACATCACTAGGAGCTGATCACTAAAATTTCAAGGCAAGTTCTTGTTAGAAGTAGTAGAATATTGTCTTCACTTTAGTACTTATTTCCAACCACAATATTTTCGTAAACTTATACGACGTTTGAACTCTCCAACGATGACGATGTTGCTATGACGGTTGATTCTTAGAATCAATATTCAGACGATGATAAACAGTTGTATGCAACATTTATTAAAGTTTCTAATGTTCGTGGTATGTCATTATGCTCCCACTATGGGCTGGCTCAACAAGCTGATCAATTTGACCGCTCAACTCAAGTATTGTGTAGTGATTTTAACTCGTTAATGGGAAATCCACATCATGATGACATCCCATCAAGTTCAATGGGGGACAATTTCATCAGAAACTTCTTACTATTTGTACGAGGTGGTTCCACAAACAATCTGCATGGCAACATAGCTTTCAGTTCAAGGGGAAGATATTCATCTGCCAATTTATGACCTGAATATAGAGATACCCTCAACGCAACAATCTATGCAGTACCCATTTGATACAATGCCTTCAAGTTCCAGGGGAGGCATTCAACTGCGAGCTTCTTCGACCTCAATGTTGAGATGCCTTCAAGTTTAAGGGGAAGGTATTCAACTACCATCTTGTTCGACCTAAATATCGGTATCATAGAGGAACCCTCATCTCCACCAGAAGAACCTCTTTATGAGTCAGGTGCAGATGGTGCTGAGACTGGAATATTCGTTAAGCCAGAATCACCACAGTTCAACATGGACTTCGATGATGATGATGTAGATGAAGTTTCAATAAATAATGTACACACCGAACCTCCAACACACATGTATGAAGCTGACTATGGTGCAATGTACGGGCCAAAATTTGCGGATATGCCTAATGTTGATGACTATGGATTTAACTCATCAGTCAATGATGTTGAGTTATATAAAAGAATAGAGTTTCCATTAAAAAATGCGATGATGACAATTAAGAATTACAATATTCGTAATTCTGTTCAGTCTAAAGTCGACTGTTTCACCATTAAAAAAATATTTGTCACTATGTATAACGTGATAACGGATATAACTGGATGATTCATGTATAGAAGGAGAAGAGGAAAAATAATATATGGGAACTAACAGTATACAACGATCCTCACACATTCTGTGCTGGAGGGATCAACCAAGATCATCCCAACTTGGATTCCAACATTATCTGCCATGCCATCATGCCCATGGTCAAACAAAGCTCTCATATAACTATTGTGATGCTTATTTACACTATACAGCCGCAATATGGGTACACTATTTTTACACTATACAGTTGCAATATGGGTACACTATCTCATATAGGAAAGCATGGAAGGCAAAGTAGAATGCCATTAAAAAACTTCACGGCGAGCGGGATGCATCTTACAACGAACTACCAAGTTAGCTTAGGTAGTGTGCAGATTGAATCCAGGAATAATCGTCGACTTAGAAATTTGCCATGCATACCAGATCGAGTACTTCGCGATCGATGCCAATTCTACCGGCTTTTTAGGCTTACCCACAGTGCATTAATAATGTGAAATACTGCAAGCCCGTGGTCCAAATTGATGGGACATTCTTGTATGGAAAATACAAGCAAATTTTACTATTGGTAGTTGTCAAAGATGGTAATCACAACATTCTTCCAGTTGCTTTTGCCCTTGTTGAAGGAGAAGATACAAATTTTTTTGTTTTATTTCCTTAGAAACTTACGATTACATGTTGTCACGAGGGAAAAAACCTATGTCATTTCAGATCGCGGAGGTGAGATCAAATCAACAATGGAGTCTTTAGGTCCAATGTGACAACCACCCTATGTCCAATATCGGTAGTGTATCCGACACATTGCTACTAATTATCATGGAAAGTTTAAGAAAAATTATGAGTGTAAATTACTTATGCGCATAGTATGTAAAAATACTTAAGTTTTATGGAAATTTAACAGTAAGTTTTACATTTGACGCTCAGGTTGCGAACTATTACCTGAAACATTTGAGTACATGCTTCAAGATTTGAGAAGAAAGAACGATGAATGATACAATTACATCGGCCTCGTCAACAAAGAAATGTGGAAAAATACATATGATGGTGGATATTGATATGGACACATGATGACCAACTTAGTTGAGGCTATCAATTCGACCTTAAAGGGGGTAAGCCATTTACCAGTAATGACTTTGGTTAAAATGATGTATTTTTCATTTTGGAGTATTTTTTCCAAGCTCGAGGGGACAAGCTCAAACTTGGATGTAAAACGGTCATATCTATCACCCAAGATTAGTTGTAGATCTACAAAAATGAATTGATGCATCAAATGGAATGTTTGTAACAATCTTCTCTATAACCCATGAATTACTTCCTGTCATAGAGATGTCGCGGTCTCTTCAAGGGATCCAAGCTAACTCATTCAGAGTTAATCTACGAGACATGTGATGTGACTGTGGGTTTTTTCAAGCTATGAAGTATCTATGCTCCCATGTCATAGCAGCTTACTCTCATACCCGTCAAGACTATAACTATTTTGTGGAACCCGTATACAGACTTTCAGAAGTATTTAAGATATGAATTTGAGTTCCCCCTTAGGTAATGAGAAAGACCCTGATGAGGTTTAAAATTGGCTTCCGATTGTATCAGATCTATTTTTATTAAGAGAGCTCGGTCGTCCAAAATTCACTCGAATTCATTGTGATATAGACATTCGGGAGACGTCTAGAGAAAACAAAAGATGTGAATATTGTAGAAACCTAGGACACAATAGGAAAAAAATCTCAATCTCTTTTGTCATCAAGTAATCGTTGATGATGTGATGATGTAATAGTTGTTTATGAAACCTAAGTTTGTGTTATTTATTTTCATTTACTTTCAATTAATATCATTTGTGCATAACTGAGTAATGGGTTACTCAAGTGAAAATTAAATAAAAACATTACAAAATAAATATTAGAAAATGATACAATCCAAACAATAAGAAAACCTAAATAGAAACATTAAATGCAAATGATAAAATTCAAATAATTAAATAAAAACATTAACAAACAAAATTAAATAAAGACATTACAAACTAAATAACTTTATCGATGTATGCGTCTTGAATGTGTTCGTAGGGCAGTGACTATCTGTTTCGATGAGGATTTCCTAGTATAACTTGTTCTTCCTCCTCACTCTCATCATCATCATCAGAAGCAGCTACATTTGTTGACGACGAATATGTAATACCCCAAATTTTGACTAATAACTAAAATGTAAGTTTTGAAAGTTTATGGGCTAAACTATAAACTTTATAAAAGTCTAGGGACTAAAAATGTATTTTTGAAAAGGTATAGAGTTTAGCTCGTAAATGAACAGTTTAGACTAAAACAAAGATTTTTGTGGGAATCATATTTTCGGTATGGGATTTGTGTTAAAAGTTATAAAGCGATAAAGTTTGGTATTGAAATTGGATGATCGGATCGAACCAGAATTTTATGAAAATTTGAAGGATGTTAGAAAATAGTAGGAAATATTATTTCCATCTTTTAGATCTGATAAATTTGGCTCAGAACAGTGTAATGTTTCAGATTTGACTAAAAAATGGAATTTTAGTGACTAAAATACAATTTACAAAAATTGCATGACAGGAAAATTGGGAAAAATTCAAGGACCTAAGAGGTAATTTTCCCAAAATGAATTTTTATTCCATAAATGAATAGTTTACTCTTGAAAGTGGGGTTTTATTGAAATCAGATTCTTGATATGGAAATTGTGTTAAAAACTAGAAAATGTTAAAGTCCGTTAAAAATTCGGTAAAATGGATCGAATAGAAATTTTTAGAAAATTTGAAGGATGACAATTTACAATTAAAAATATTATTTCCACATTTTATAATAATGGAAAATAATATGGAGCATTGGATTTGAGAATTTATTTTCATGTTCAATTTGGGTCATTGGATGAAAAATGACAAGATTGAAATTTTTGGAAAATTACGTGGGAAAAGTTATAAAGGGCAAAATATTTTGTCCATATTTGACTTTGGAAAATGATAAGGTTTATGTGGCTTGATATTAAAGTAAATATCATTTTCATTAATGGTAAAATGAATATTTCTCGTTAAATGAATATTTTATTCATT